ATTCCTGCTCAGATTTTATAATACTTTATTATAAGCTGAACCAAATGTCTTTATTTATTTTCATTTATAAAGAGAATTTTAATAACTAAACTTTAACTTGTAATCTTTTCACTGGCTAATGGTGATGGAGGCTGAGCTTCAAGGCCAGCTTGCCCAAATTATTCTTGATGTTGCCCTAAATGTGTGAATGTCATGTAAAAACAAAATGAAAACTAAATAATAAATAAAATGCAATGACAAGAATGTATTTTATAACTATATAGGTTTTTTAATTCAAACCAAACATGTTACAATACTTAGCTACAACAAACTCCTACCTGCCAAGCCACAATACACAGCCTTTCAGAGAAATACTTAATTTTTTTTAAGGAATGTACCAAGAGCAGTTCCTCTATTAATTTTCAGACCTAGGTCATCTTGCTGTTTCTTGGATACTGTGATTGAAACATATATGAAATGAATAGAGAAAAAATAGTCATAACTAAGATGACTCTTTAAGACTCAGTGAATTTCATGTCAACTGTGTTCTATTTATAATTTTAAAAGATGATGTAGTGCAATTGCTGCAGATTCATTGGAGGGGTGTTTTTCTCTTTTGTATATCTTCACCAGCATTAAAGGTATTTTACTATTATTAGTATTAATAATAATTCAGTTAGTCATGAATAAGTGAAACATCTATTTTATTACTTCAGACCTGTATTGGCTCTTTAGGACTGAAACATTAGGAAGACCTGGTAGATAACTGTGTACTCTATTTTATGCTTCCATGTCATATTTTCTTAGTTTCAGGTGCCCAGCCACCTTCCCCTGGTACCACCAGGTATGCCCCCCCATCCCCCTCCACACCACACATCCCTGCCAGCCCTGCCCCTCCAACCCCCACTACCCATAGACTTACCTGCATCCAGCTGCCATCGCTGCGCTGACCACCCTGCCTGGCTCTATGCTGGCCACGCATGGCTCTATGCTGTGTGCATGTGTCTCCAGTCATTCCAAGCAGGTCCTTGTAGGCTGGATGGCTGCTAGCCTGCAAGGGGAAAAGCCTAGGTTTCTCTAAAAAGGAAAATCCAGGTTTTTCCACAGCACATGGAAAACCTGGATCTCTAGTAAAAGAATGCTACAAGGGCAAGCTGGGAAATGCAGTTCTACCAGCACTGATGTTGAAAAAGGACTAGCAGAGCACAATCCCAGACATTTGTTCATATTTGAAAAAAACGCCCGAGCGGAGATCGAAGGATCCAAAAAGAAGACGTCCAGGAAAACCCGAATATGTGGACTCTCCCACTCCCTGCCACTGTATTGTCTACACCCCCACTGTCTCCCCTGTTGCCTGACCCCTACTCCAAGTCCTGCTACCATTGCTTTTCATGTTGCAGTGGTGGGGATGAATTTAAGATGATCCTCCAATAATTAGATTTTATACAGGGGAAATTATAACACATTTATACATTTTCTGTGTATAGAACCTAAACGGGGAGGGGGGTGTCACCTCAAATTCAATGTGAACTTGAATTTGGGTAAATGCCTCATGCCTTCATCCTATTCTCTTCCCAGCAGTGAAAAGAGGTTCCAACTTTTTGCTGCTTTAGACACAGGTAAATACATACTCAAAAAACAGGAATTGCACCAGAAGGGACTGCAGAACACGCTGAGGACGATTTGTCATCCTAATCAATACATGCAAAAGCATAGTTTGGTGTCTGCACTGAGCCAGTGCCGCATGTGATCTTACTACTACGAAATGCTGGAAGATCAAAAAATACAATATCAATTTTTGTAAAACGTTTTACACAAGACTTGAACCGTCCAAAGTTGTGCATGTGTCTGTCTGAATGTGCACGTATGTCTCTCAGATAAGGTTCTTTGGGTTAATACATCTTTTATTAGACCAACTCAATAATCAGAAAAATTGTTCTTTGCAAGCTTTTGGGCACAAACACCCTTCTTTGGGTATAGAGAGAGTCTGCTGGTGTTTTGTGTCCAGGGTGGAACAGAAGCCAATATGCAAAATTGAGGTCAGTGAAAATGCAAACGTGTGTCGGACAGGTAGGTGGTGGGGAGGGGAAGAGGGAAATGTTGACTGCTGCTAGTAAAATGTAGAGGGGTTATGAGACGGCAGGCAGGTTATAATGTGCCATCAATCCGATGTCTGTATTTAGTCCAGGGTTCAATCCAACCAGGAATAGCGCACACCAACTGCAGAGGCTTCCTCAGCCTGATGAAGGGCTTTTAAACCCAAAAGCTTGCTATAAAATTTGTCCCAACTATTTAAGTTGGTCTAATAAAAGATACACCCAAAGAACCCTGTCTGCCTATATTTAGTCCATTATTTTTTCTATCCAGTCATTCATGAAGTTCACTGGCTCCTCTACCAAAGGTGCTTTGTAAATTCCCTTTGAGGACTAGAAGTGAGAGATTGGAGAGAGAGCGGGTGTCTTGTGAGATGTGCGCACCCACAGGTCCTTGGGTATTTTTGTCTTTGACAGATTTCCGCTGTTTCATTCTGGAGCTCAGTTGTTTGGTTGCTCCTGCATATTGTCTGTCCGGCCTTCAGCGCGCTGGATGAGGTGTGTTACATTTCTGGAGGCGCAGGCGTAAGTTCTGCAACTGTCTGTGTATAAGTGTATGGGGACTGGTGGGAGAGGCGATCTCTTTTATTAGACCAACTAGATTTTTGCAAAAAAGCCACACCAAAATCTTTCATTGCAAGCTTTTGGGCACAAACACCCTTCTTTAGGCATAGGAGAAAAGACTGTACAAGTTCTCCTGGGGAGAAACGAAAGTTGGTATTCCATAGGAGAGTTAAAGGTGTGCAGCAAGGTTTGGTTGCAGCGTTGTCGGGCTCAGGACAGGGCAGACGAGGTTCTTGGGGTGAATGTGATATCTTTTATTAGACCAGCTTCAAGTTAGGGAAAAATTTTGTTTAGCAAGCGTCCGGGTTTTGCTCAGGTGAACTGCTGCTGTTTGCAACGGTTCATTTTATGTGCAGGGCCCTGGAGCGAGCAGCCAGGACCCGCAGTCAGGCCGGGGCCGGGGAGTGGCTTTCCCTGGCGGCTGCCGCGTCCCCGAGCAGGCGGAGCCCGGAGCCAGCTCCGTCCGCTGGAAGCGGAGCCCCGGGGACACGCGCTCGTCCCCCAAGCGGGACCTTATCGCGCTCGCCAACCGCGCCGGGGAGGTAAGCGCGGCCACGGCGTTTCCCCGCCCTGGGCCTCTCCCGTGCGGCAGCTCAAGCCCCCTCCCTGCCCTGGCGCCTGGTCCTCACCCGGCTCCAGCCCAACACAGCCTCAGCTCGCTGGCTGCGGCCTCTGTCGCCACGGGCCGGGCTGTGCTCTGCTCTGCTCAGCCGCGGACTGCAGCCGGGGAGAGGCGAGGAGGCTGCGCGGGAGGGAAGCGGCTGCAGGGGGGAAATGGCGGGTGCAGGGCGGGCAGCTCCGATCCTGAGCCACAGCAGCCGCCTGCCCCGCCACTACCCGTGTTAAATGTTGGGGAGGGGGTCGTCTTCGTCTGCAGGCAGTACAGTGCGTGGGGCCACGGTGCCGGCTGACAGGTTCACCTTCCTGGAACTGCTAGGGACTAGTGCTGCCCAGCAGGGTGTCCAACTTGGCCTGTGGTTTCACCCATGTGTCAAAGTTCATCTCCACCTGAAGTTTTGAGACAAGAAATACAAAAAACTTGAGCTCTTGGTTCCAAAATGATACCTTTCATTAGACCAACTGGGCGCTGAAAGCAAACAGTGCTGTGGCGGCACTGGAGCCAGCGGTCCCCAGGCTCTGACGGGTTGCGCACCACCAATTTAAAACGATACAATCTTAAGTACCACCAGCAAGTTTTTGTCATATAAAGGAATTATAATAAACCTGTTAATGCGCACCACTGACACGTTGTCTGCGTACTGCTGGTGGTACCCGTACCACAGATTGGGAACCATTGTTTTAACTTAATTTTCTAGATGATCATAGAAAAATAGAGGGACCTCAGTAGACCATGCAGTTCAACCTGTTGCTCAGGGCAGGATAGTGCCAGGCAAATGTTTGTCAGCCTGAAGTGAAAAGGCCTCCACTGCAGAGATCTAGTCTCTCTCTGTGATTGTTCCAGTGCCTACCCATTTTCATGGTTATAAAGTTTTCCCTCGAATTCAACTTACATTTTCTTGGTTTCAGTTTAAGCTCATTGCTTCCTGTCCTGTGATGTATAGACACCGGGGAGTAATTGTCATTCCCTAATTGACTTGCATACAGCTCTCCTTTTAATACAACCCATTACTGCAGGGAGAGCGGGTTGCAGCAGTAACACTGTTGACTCCAACTTCTGATCCAGGCTGAAGTACTTCAGGAAAGGCCGTGACTCCCTGTGTTGTATTTGTGCACTTGACTCTCCCAACCTACATTTAGTTCTTTGTACTTGTTCTCACTGAATTTGTTCCAGTTTATTTCAGGACTTTTGTTCCAACTGAGCAAGGCTATTTTGAATCTTAATTCTGTCCTTCAAAGTGCTTAAGTCCCACCCAGCTTGGTGGTGTCCGTAACTACAAATGTACATTCAGTCCTGCCTTCTGTATCATTAATAAAGAGACTGAACAGTACTGGACCCAGGACAGACCCTTGGGAAACACCACTTGATTCCTTTTTCAGTTTTGGTTTAGAACCACTGATTATTGTTCTTCATAGATTTCATAGACATTAGGGCTGGAAGGGACCTTGGGAGATCATCAAGTCCAGTCCTGTGTCCCAGGGGCAGGAAGTCAGCTCGGGTCAAAAAAACCTAGCAAGATAAATGTCCAAATGTCTCTTAAAGGAGTCCAGAGTAGGTGCTTGCACCACCTCTAGTGGCAGTCTGTTCCAGGCCTTGGGGGCTCGGGCAGTAAAGAAGTTCTTCCTTATGTCCAGCCTGAAGTGGTCTTGGAGGAGTTTGTGACGGTTTGACCTTGTCATCCCTTGGGGAGCTCTGGTGAACAGGCATTCCCCCAGATCTTGAGCCTGCGCTTTTCCAGGTTGAAGAGTCCCATGGTTCACAGCCTCTCTTCATAAGGCCTGTTCTCTTGCCCTCTAATCATGTGCGTGGCTCTCCTCTGGACTCTCTCTAGCTTTTCCACATCCTTTTAATATTGTGGAGCCCAGAATTGGATGCAATATTCCAGCAAGTACTTCTTAATCATGATTATCTAACCAGTTATACATCCATCTTGTATTTAGTTTATGTATGAGCTTGTGGATGATGGTGTCCAGCACCTTATTAGCGTTGAGCTTTATCAAACCCTCTGCTGCCCCCACTCCCCTTTCCCCTGTCTACAGGTCCCATCACTTTATTAAGGAATTATTTTCTCTGAACAGATCTATGGTGGCTATTACTTATCTTGTTATCCCCCCAGGTAATTACAAATTAATTATTTGAAGATACCCTCCAGGATCATAAAATTTAGATTGACTGGTCTGTAGTTCCCAGAATCTCTTTCACTTTTTTAAAAGATAGGCACCATATTTTTCCATTTTTGGGGGGGGCTCACTTGATTTTCATGAATTCTGAAAGACGACAGTTACTTCAGCCATTTCCTTAAATGCTTTAGGAGGGATGTCATCAGGCCTAATAGCTTATCTAACTTGTCATTTTAGCTGCTTCTTCCCCATGTCCTTTCATCTCCACTTACCCTTGCTCCTCCACTTTCTAAGCTAATCATGTAATCATCTGACAGTTGACCTCTGTGATGATATTCTTGGGCATCCAAGGATAGGATGTTCAACTGTAATGTTTCCATACTACAGTTTCTATCTAAGTTGGAATGGAAGCTCTCATTTTGATTACAGTCTTCAAGACTACACAGCACAGTTTACTTTCATTGCTTCATAGTAAAGAGTATGCTCTCAAACTATGGAAAATAACTGGACTTTTGATAGGAACATTCAGGATACAGTGTGCCTACTGGATACAGGATTTGTTTTAGCCCAATAGAAAGTGATTCTTTAGTTTCTGGATTACAAGATTCAGTTAAAAGAAAAATGTGCTTTCTTTGACTAAATTCAAGCTTTTTTTTTCAGGTTTTACTTCACCGACTAGCAAATTTTCAACGAGTCTGGAGTTTGCCACCAAATGAAAACACAGGAAAAGAAGTGACAGCCCTTGCTTGGAGACCAGATGGCAAAAGTAATATAAAATCATGATGTCTTCAGCTGCTGTAAAAATGTTGTTGGGAATCGGTGGATAACTTTAGGAAGCATAGCAACACTTATTTTCTTATCGTCTGGCTATCAGTTAGTGATCGGGGAAGATGCATTCTTCACCCCTGCAGAAGCTGAGCCACACTGCAGAAAGTAATGCAAGATTCATGGTGCCAGAAACAGAGCATGGGGTGGGGAGCCTGACTGCATCCTAATGGTTAGGATGCCTGTTGGCAGGAAAGGAGATGGCTGTGGGTTCTGTTCCATGCTCCATCACTGTTCATGCATTTTACACTAAATAGTCAATGAAAAAAACCTGAAATAATTGTGGGAGCAAGAGCCAGAATTCAAAACTTTCTCATCTCAAGTAAGCTCTAACCACTAGGCAAGGGGTTGTCAACTGGGGGTACGCGTACCTCCGGGGGTAGTTGGAAAGGTGCTAGGGGATATGTGTGGGCGGGTGGGGACGGAGTGCTGCCACCCACCACCCTGCACTGCTGCCTCCCAGGAGCAGAGCTGGGCGGCATGAGGGCAGCAGCTCCCCTCTGCCAGGCTGCACAGGTGCCACCCAGCCAGCCAGATGGGGGGCAGGGAGGGGGGACTCTTAGCAGCGGCAGTGGCTGCCACCACCTGCTGCTGTGTGCAAGTCCTGTCCTCTGTCAGTCCAGCCGCTGCCACTAAAAGGGGTACACTCCTTAAAAAAGGTTGAAAACCCCTGCATTTAGGACACAGTCAATCTCCCTCTTGGATTCTGTCTTGCTGGCCTCATGGATCTTGCGTTCTAATGTTGCATCATGGTTCTGTTTTGAAAAAGGAGGTATCCATTTAAGCTTATGGCCTGGTGGTTGGACATTCTCTTGGGAGGTGGGAGTTGTGGATGCACCACTACTACCTCTTCCAGGTGCATTTTAGGAATTAAGCAATTTAAGCTTCCTTTTGTGGGGGACCCAGTAAAGCAGTGTGTGCCTACTGGATTAGACCCCTTGGGTGATGTCTGCATTGCTGTGCCTAGGTTGTGGGTCGCAATGGAGTTAGTTAGGAGTTGGGTTCCTGTCTGTTCAGGTTGTAGCAGTTCTGGGCATGCTGATCTGCAAATACTTTCAGGCAAAAGGGGAGACAGCTAACGAGATTTAAGCATTGTGAGTGTTAGGTGGCTGCTGAGCAGAGTTTTTTAATTACAGTTCTGTACTTGGGAGAAAGGCAGACTTTAGATGCCTGTTTTATGTGCGTATCTTTTTTTTGGAACTAGTTCTTAAGATTACAGACATTGACACAAAATAAATTGGTATAAATTAGCCATTAATAAATTTCATAAAGTACTTCCTAATTGTTCACTGTTTCAGATATATTGAAATTTGAAATTTTGAACCTCACACACTGAGCCTGCAGGTGGAGGGTAGTAGGTCAGGAATAAGGGGCACTGGGTTGGGCACTGGCCATTGATGTTCACAAATGGGTCCTGGTACAGAAAAGGTTGAGAACCACTGTTTTAAAGTATGTAAGGCTCATTCAAAGTATTAACATTGAAATTTGAAAATGCAAGTTGTTTAACTTTATACTGTTTTCCTCTAGTTTTAGCTTTTGGGCTGGCTGATACTAAGCGGGTCATCCTATGTGATGTAGAAAAACCTGAAAGCTTGCACTCTTTCTCAGTGGATGCTCCTATTACTTACATGCATTGGATGGAAGTAACTGAAGAAAGCAGGTAGCTCTAAGGAACTCTGCAATTAAATATACATGTATAGTATAATATCACCCTATCAATAATTTATATATAATATAAATTATAGTGGTTAAGCAGGAAAAGTGTAACTTTATCTTGAAGATCAGTAAGTTTTCTGGGTACGTCATAAAAAATCCTTTTATTATAGATTATTTTTAAATATACTTATAAAAATGACATGCTAATTATAATATTTCTGTAGTTTTATAAGTTATAAAAAGAAGAGCACCCTTAAAAGGACCTTGTGCGTCCATATATAGGTAATATTACAGATTATTTATTTAGATTTGTCAGTTATTGTTAACTTTCATAATTGCTACCTCTAACTCACTGTCATCTGCTACATCTGTAAGCATATGTCAACCCCCAAAGAGGTTGTAATTAAGACTTTGGATTATACTTTGAAGCGTCCTTTTTGACTGACTTCAGTGAGCTTTAGGAAAGGAGCAGTTATTTCTTTGGTCTGTGGTTGTATAGTACACAGTGGGGTCCTGGTTTATGACTAGGGCATCTCAACAGTACTATAAAAACTAAGTAATAGAAGGTCGGGGGGCAAACCACTGAATTGGCACATACCAGCTTAACCTTCCTGTTTGGAGAAATGGAAAACTAAGAAGACAGGTTTTTAAAATTAAGTGGCAAACTAGCAATATAAATGTGACATCTTGAGTCTAAACATCAATCTGGAATTGGAAAAAAATATTTATTGTGGTTTTCCTCTTTTCATTTTGGCAACAAAGACAAACAGTTCTTAATCACTTTTTCTTTTTCAGTGTCCTTACCTCATTTTATAATGCTGAGGATGAGTCGAATCTTCTTCTGCCTAAATTACCTGCACTGCCAAAAAAGTAAGTTTTAGATTAACAAGCCTGTAAAACTGCATGTTTCAAGTGCTGTCATCTTTTTGACTTGTCATATTTAATACTCTGCACCTGTTATGGAGTAAATGAGCACTCGTTTTCTCACATTTTTACTTTGTTCTTTAATTTAGCTATAGCACCACTGCAAAAATCTTCAGGTAAGAACTCATGGTTTTTTATTTCTGTCTTTATTTTTTTTAAGAGTCATATGAATGTCTATAACTTGTTCTAAACATATTTTTATGCTTTCAGTGAAGAAAAATCAGATGAAATTATGAAACTGCTAGGGGATGTAAGGTAAATATTCTTTGAGATCTATAAAATAGTGGAGTGTTTGGTTAAAAATTACTTTAAATCCATTTATTTGGTGATAACCTACAGAAATGGGGAGTGTTTCTATATTGTGTGCTTAAAAATAATGAAAAGAAGTCAAATCTTTCCTTTTTTTATTAGAGGGTTCTGTGAGGCTCATAAAAATAAAGTGGGAACTTTGTTCACCTTAACTTGGAAGGAGTTGAATCTCCTACAGTTTTCTTTTTTCTTGAGTTAAAAAGATGTTAAGCTAAACCAGAAAGCATTACCTGCTGACCAAACTGTGAGGGCATCTATCTACATTCTGTGCTCCCTTGTGACTGCAGAGCCTCAAACTAAATGTAAAGATGCACATAAAGCTATAATGGCTAATTCTACATTACTGTTGAATGTTACAGTTACTTAAAATACTACATTAGGATTCCTTTGTTTTAGGTACTATAATAATATGAGACAACTCTGAGCCCCAAAGACTTAAGATTGTAAAAAGGCAGACAAGATTAGGGAGGAAATGAGCACAAGGAGATGAAATAAGTTGCCCAAGATATCACAATGAGTAGCGTCAGGATGTGAAGAGCATGCAAGCCTATTCAATCTCAGTCCAAGGATCTATCCCCTGGATGATTTTCTCTTTTCCAGTGCTGTTAACATTGGTGGCTGTTCTTGGATGCTATATTTAATTTAAATTTTCATCGTCTTTGTATTTGAACTAAGCAGTGCCGCTTGACTACCACAGAATAGCAGTTAGTTTAAAATTAGCTGAATAAAAGAGTAGTTTTAAAAGAATAAATATGTTGTAGTCTACCTTTAAGAAAGTGGATTGATAATTATTCTGTTTGCATATAAAATAGCTAATATTTAGTGACATTAGAATTAGTAACTTTGTATCTTTTAATTTCTGTTGAAACTGTTTTAAAGTTGCCTTTGATCTTTTTTGTAATGACAGCTACATACAAAAATCAAAATTCTTAATGTGAGCTTTACTTTTAAGCGTGACATTTTGGGGAAAAAGGTATTCAAATGCAGTGGAAACTAACTATTGCCTTACAGGCTTTTCTTTTTGGTTAATTGGACTGATTGATTTAGATACTTTATTTATTACTAGGCTTAATGCCCTCGTTCTTGGTGGAAACTCTGGTTTTATTGAGGTTTATGCTTATGGGATGTTCAAGATTGCAACAGTAACAGGGGTATGTTTTACTTTCATTTCTTAAAGTACCACAAATTATGAGTGAGTTTAAACATTGCTTTGGAATTCAACTTTGTGTGCAATAGATCCTCTGTTAAACATAGCAAAGCTGAAGTGTTAAAGTTGCAAAGTTGTCTCTTTTTATTGCTGATATAGTGAATTTTTTATTCTGCCAGAAAATTTTCTGTTGATAAATATGCTAGCGCACTGTATGTACTTACCCACCAAGAAGATATGTGATATTTCATCGTCTTAAACTTGGACTTTTTCAGGTGACAGGTTCTTGTCGGGGGTTGTGTTTGTCTAGTGATTTGAAATCACTATCGGTCATTGCAGAGATGCAAAATTCCTCAGATGGTCCTTTGGAGATGATGTATTTTCAGGTAAATAAAATGCAGACTGAAAACACAAAAGTGACTTTTGAAATATTCTTTTTAAAATACTGCTTATTTTTTCACTAGTATCGGACAATTCTAGCACACATGCCTGTTTCTGATTTGCCATAACTATACATTACTTTATTTCCAGCTTCTGTAATGTTCATCTTTTTAGTTTTTAGGTTCTTCCTGTTTACTTAAATTCTGATTGCTGTAACTGGGATAGTATTAAAGCTAGGAGGTGTCTGAGAAGTTATACTAGGTATACTATTATAGGAACTCAGGTTGCTAATTTGGCGTTATGATATACTTTATGATGTACTTTAATGATAGTACATAAAAACTTGGTATCGCTCATATTTTGGCTGTCAGTCGCAATGTATTAAAAACACTGGTCACAAATTTTCCAGACGATATATGAATATTGGCATAGGTATATTAAAACATGTTGAATTATTGAATGTTCTAAGGTTAGGTGAGAGAGAGAAATTAATGTAAAATTCTCAATTCTTTGTGAAGTTTCTTTTTTTTTTTTTCTTCGATACACATGATCCAGGTTTATCATTACAGAGAAGAGAGACATATATCTAACAATAATTGTCTTTCATGTTATAGCTGGATACCAGTCTACTGTCAACCTATTTACCCGAAGTAACTCGAATGGCCAGAAAGTTTACTCATATTTCTACTCTGCTACAGGTAAAGTTTTGTTGTGACTTCTTTTTAATACTACAGTTCTTACAGGTTTGGTAATGTGAAGCACTCTTCTGATAAGAGACATAAGGGGATTCTAAGTTAATACAGAGCACTGATTTAGAAATATAGCTTAAGATTTAAATGCATGTTAGCATGATCGACTGTTTAGTGAAAAATATTAATATTGATTTTAAGGAGACAAGACTAACTTTTAAAATGTTTGTATTGTAGTATATAAAATTGTCACTGACCTGCATGTGTGAAGCATGGGAAGAAATTTTGATGCAGATGGATTCGCGTCTAACCAAATTTGTCCAGGTATTGTATAGGGAATTATTTGGGGAAGGTGGAAAATTCATGTATATGACAAAGCTATTACATATTTTGGTTCTGATGCATAGTTGCTCTGCATAATATCCTCTGTAGATTAAAGAAGCAAGTTCTTTGAGGTTAAAAGCACCATTTAAGGTATTTAGTGATTTTGTCCTGTGTCTTTACATTCCCATAATACTGATTTGTTTTGTTTTCGTTAGTTTAATGGATTCAGCATCATGCTGTAGTTGTGGCTTGTACCATTAGTGGCTTTCTCATTAGATTTGCATCCTCTAACCCAGGGTGTCAGACTCACCCCTGTTCAGAGTCGGATTGGACCATAGGGCTCCTTCTAGGCCGAATCCAGCACAGGGTGACTCAGGAGGTGTTTGCAGTTCCAGCCCCCTCCCTATGCATGCAATAGCAACTCTAGCTGCTGCCACATGCCAGAAGTGGAGCTACTGCTGCTGACACATTTCATGCCTTGGCAGCAGCTCCCACTCTGACACAGAGCACATAGTGGCAACAGTTCTAACTCCAGATCTGGTATGAGGCACACAGCAGCAGCAGGGCTGGCAGCTGAGGAGCTGGGGCAGCAGTGGTGGCAATAGGCGAAATGGCTGGGGGACGACTAGAGTTGTATCAGTCCTTGTTTGCCCTCCTGCTGCAGATCTCCATGTCCACCAGGGCCCAATGGTCCTGGGTTTTTCAGCAGGCAACACCTCTAGCTTCTAGTGGCCTGTTGGCTGCCCAGCAGGCTGGACAGAGCAGCTCTGTGGGCTAGATCTGGCCATTGGACCATATGTTTGACACCCCTTCTTTAACCCATTGAATATATTGCTCTTGACAGTAAGCTACCCATTCCATGAAAATACATAACTTCAGCATTATGTTTGAAGCTCTTGATTTCTGAGTGGCTTAACTTATTTTTCTAATAAATGAATATTCCTGGGGAATTAAGCCCTCCTGTTGTAACTACTGTAGCTTTCGGAAAGCAGCACTTGGAGCCTGTCATCTACTTCAAGTAAACAAGTAGAGCAAAACGTTCATAATGGAGCCAGGACCTAGATACCATTGAGTGATTAAAGTTTTGCAGTAGTTGTTAGACTTTAATTTAAAAAAAAAGAATGAAAATTTGTTTTGTAATTGTAGGTTTTAAAATAATGCTCAGAACTCTCTTTGCTGGGGAAAATTTAGAAATAATAACTTATTTTTATTTTAGTCATTGAATTTGCAATGATTCCGAATCTATTTTTAGTATTCTATGAAGTGTTTTGTTTGTGTGTATTCTAAATTAGATGTCTTTAAATATAACAGTAAACTTATGATTTAGATACAATTCTATTTATTTCATTAATTTTGACTGACAGGAAAAGAACACAACCACATCTGTTCAGGATGAATTTATGCAGCTGCTGCTGTGGGGAAAAGCAAGGTAGTTGTTGTTTATATTCCTAAATTGAATTATACTTCAACGTTGTAAATGAATAGTCTGATAAAAGAAAAAAATACTTGATTTTTTTTTCTTCCCCACTTAGCCCTGAACTTCAAGCACTATTAATGAACCAACTAACAGTGAAGGTATGGTTCATCTTTATAGTTTTCAAATGATGTTTCAGTACCTTATGACACTGTTTTTACATACTTTAATGCGATGTCTCTTCTGTCAGGGTTTAAAAAAGCTTGGTCAGTCCATAGAGTCTTCCTACTCCAGTATACAAAAGTTAGTCATAAGTCACTTGCAGAGGTATGTCATACAACATCTAATGGATTACAGATATAAAATGTCATAAATATGTTGCTCTATATTTGTTAAAAAGAGCTAGCAGTCACAACTAGTAGTTCTGCATGTTTTAGGCATATTGAAGCACAGGTATTGCAGCACTTTTTATTGTAGTCATGGAAAATGTTTCTGCTGGCTTAAGACCTGGAGGTGTCTGGTTAGAGGATCTTGCCCTTCTGCTCATAGATTCATAGAAAATTGGGGTTGAACCTTAAGAGGTCCTCTAGTCCCTGCTCAAAGCATAACCATCCCCAGCTATACCATCCCAGCCAAAGCTTTGCCTAGCTGGGTCTTAAAAACCTCAAAGGATGGAGATTCCACAACCTTTCTGGGTAGCCTGTTCCAGTGTTTTGCTACCCTCCTAGTGAGAGAGTTTTTTCTAATATCTTCCCTAAACTTCCCTTGCTGCAACTTGAGACCATTGCTCCTTGTTCTGTCATCTGCCACCTTTGAGAACAGTTCAGCTCCATCCTCTTTGGAACTGTACTTCAGGTGTTATTAAAGACTATTATTAAAATCCGCCCCCCCATCTTCTCTTTCCCAGACTAACTAAGCTCAGTTCCCTCAGCCTCTCCTCATAAGTCCATGCCCCTCAGCCTCTCCTCATAAGTCCATGTTCCCCAGGCCCCTAACTTTGTTGCCCTCTGCTGAAGTCTTCCAATTGGTCCATATCCTTTCTGTAGTGGGGAGCCCAAAACTGGATGTAGTACTTTATATGTGGCCTCACCAGTGCCGGATAGAGGGGAATAATCACTTCCTTCAGTCTGGCAATACTCCTGCAAATGCAGACCAGTATGCTGTTAGCTGCCTTTGCAACAAGGGAATGCTTTTGGATCATAGCTTGTCTGCTGCAACCTCCCAAGTACTTTCCTGCAGAACTCCTGCTTAGCCAGTCAGTCCCCAGCCTCTACCAGTGCATGGGATTGTTCTGTCCCAAGAGCAGAATTTTGTGCTTGTCGTACTTGAACTACATTCCCGACCAATTATTCCCTGGTTGTAAGCAGCAGGTCAAGAAGAGCACTGCCCCTAGTTGGCCTCCGCAACATTTGCACCAGGTGGTTGTCCGTAGCACTCAAAAAAACTTCCTGGATTGCCTGGCAAGGTTCTTTGGGTAGATGTGGTATCTTTTATTAGACCAAATGAATAGTTGGAAAAAAGTTCTTTGCAAGTTTTCGGGCACAAACATCCTTCTTCAGGATTGCTTGTGCACTGCCGTATTGCTCTCCTAGCAGGTGTCAGGGTGATTTTGAAGTCCCCCACGAGAACCAGGGCCTCTGATGGGAAAACTTTTGCTAGCTGTTTGAAAAAAGCATCATCTACTTCATCCTCCTGGTCTGGTGGTCTATAGTAGACACCCACCACATCCATATCACATTTGTTGCTGTCCCCTCTGACCCCAACCTAGACGCTTTGAACAGGCCTGTCTCAGTTTTATACTGAAGCCCTCAGCAATCATACAGCTCTTTTGCATAAAGAGCCATTCATCCTCTTTTCTCCTGCCTGTCCTTCCTAAATAGTGTATATCCATCCATGACAGTGCTCCAGTCACGTGAGCTATCCTACCAAGTCTCATTGTAGTTCTGTGACTGTGTGAGGACTTCCTGATTCTTCCTGTTTGTTTCCCAGGCTCTGTGTATTTTGTATACAGACACCTGAGGTAACTAGCCAATTGTCCTACTTTCTCAGGAAGAATGGGAATGCATCCCCTGTTGTCCCCTTGCTTGTGCTTCCTCTAGGTCACTTGATTCCGCACTTACCTCAGGGCTTTGGTGTCTGTCCCCTAGTGAGCCTACTTTTAAAGCCCTCCTCACCAGGTTAGCGAGCCTGTTTGCAAAGATGCTCTTTCTCCTCCATCATGTGGATCCTATCTCTTCTTAGCAATCCTTGGAACAACATCAAGTGGTTGAAGAAGCCAAAGTCCTGCCAGCAACACTTTCTGCGCAGCCATGTATTGATATGCAGGATGCATCAATTCCTTCCCAGGCCCTTCCCCTTGCCCAGGAGGATCAAGGAGAACACCACATGAAACCCTGTCCTCCTCACTGCTGTACCCAGAGCCCTGTAGTCACTTGATCTGCTCAGTCACTTGGCAGTATCATTGTTGCCTGCCTGGATAAGCAGCATGGGGTAGCTCATGATCAGATCATATTTGGGATCAGGGCTGAATTATATCCCATAGCCAAATTAGTATGGTTTGTGTTGGGGTTTTTGCCTTCCTCTGTAGTGGTGGGGGGGCACTGACAGCTCATATCTCTCTGCTTTATCTGTGGCAAGTCAGGGTGCTCATAGTGTTTTTGGGCAGTGTGACAGGTTGATTGTGTAGTTTTTGGAATAGTGTAGGCAGGCACTTATATGGGATGGTTTGGATAGAGATAATCCTGCCTTGAGCAAGGAGTTGGACTAGATGACCTACTGAGGTCCCTTCCAGCATTATGTTTCTATGATCGTTTACAAATTAAACTCATTTCACTAGTGTTCCAAAGTAAAACTTACTTCCTGGGAGACTGTTGGGGAAGAAAAACTTGGTTTATATGATTGTCTAATGAGAAACATTTGATATATGCTGTAACTAAGGTTAATGCTAGAGGTTATAGTAAAAATATGGATAACATGTAGCATTCAAAAAGTTTTTTCTCTGTAAAATGGGAAAAATAATAATAGAGTGCTTGAGGTACACAAATGAGAGAGGTGCCAGATAAGAGTTGGATACAATTGATTAAAAAAAAATCTATGTGCAAAGAATAGACTGAAAATTTTATGCGTTTCTCTCTCGCATTAATAGTGGTTCAGAGGCCTTGTTATATCATTTAAGTGAACTGAAAGGAATGGCATTATGGAAACAAAAATATGAGTCGCTTGGATTAGATGCAGCAGGAATTGAAGGTATAATAATTAGCTCACTACTTGCCATATTGATGTTAATGTTAAAAACTGAAAGTAACAGTTATTCTCTTTATAGATGCTATTACTGCTGTTGGTTCTTTCATCCTAAAAGCAAATGAGCTTCTTCAGTAAGTATTAAGCTGGAAAGTTGCAAGCCAGTTTGTTTTTTAATCATAATGTAATGCACAATTGAATTGAATGAAGATTTTTTTTCCTAAAAATGTAATTATTTATTAGAAGAATTTACTCCAGTAGCTGCTAAAGCACCCTCTTTATTCAGTATGTAACTTCAGTCAGGGTTGCGCAACTGGCAGCTTGTGGGCTCCATGAAGCCTAGGAGTTAATGTGCAGCCTCTTGGGTCTCGTGCAGTTGTTGCTCCTCTCATTGCTTAAGCTACAATAGCAGCCAGAGTCTCCAGGTTTCCCCTTCCCTCTTCTGATTGCCACTTCCTGCTTTTGCCCCAGGAGGCAGAGTGGTACAGGAGTTGAGGGTGCAAAGGGTGAGTTTGGGGTTGTGTGCTGGGGGTTGGGATTGTGCTTGTGTAGTAAGTCTGGGGGGAAGCCCATGTGGGTTCATGTTGCAGCAGGGGGAGGGATTGTGCTTTTATGCCAGTATGGTATAGCAGTGGAAGGGGATGCCCGCCTGGTCATGTGGTACAGTTGTGAATACCTTGGGTGGCTTGGACAGCCATTGTACATAATTGCATGCTGTTTTTTCTACAGGACCCCTTCCTCACTTACTGTACAGGATGGATGGTACTCAGTTAATACGATTATTCAACATTTTACGAGTCCTAAGTCTTAGTATACACTAATCAGGCAATTAGTGACAACTGACTTATTTTCTTGTGATCCTTTGCATGGTGGTTATCAATGTATATTAAGAATGTTTCATATGTATTAATCATGCTTTTCATTGCCCTCCCTGTGTGTGGTAGTGTGTGGTTTTATCACTATTTTGCAAAGGGGAACAAGCACAGAAGGATTAAGGTGAAGTGATTCCATTAAATGTAGGTATTTCACTTTCAGGACCTGGTTTTTCAGACCCCAGGTTCATGTTAAAATAATGGCACCATTGGGATCAGAGAAACTTTATGCCCCATCCTAATACATATCCAGCTATGCCTGACATGCGTGGCTGGACACTTGTTGTTTGGGAAGGGCCATGAAGTTCCCTGCTATCCCAGTCACACCACTGCATGGCTGCCATGTGTCTGGTCCCAGCTAAGGAATGGTGCCAGTCCTGCTTATACTGAAGTTGAAATGTCTATTCATCCTGCAGCTGCTTGTGCTCTTTGTTTAGATCTAATCTTTTATCTTTTTTTTCATACAGAGTTATAGACAGTAGCATGAAAAATTTCAAAGCATTTTTCCGATGGCTTTATGTAGGTAAGCTTAATTATATGCTAAATGTTTTGTATCTGTTTTTAAATAACTTGGTTTGGTGTTGTCCTAGCATTTTAAAATATTTGCCCATGAGTTAATCTCTGGGATTTAGAAGTTTAGCATATTTTAATTACTCCATGTGATAAGTTCCTTGATAGTGGGCTCTTTAAAATTAAGACTGGTGTCAAAGATATAGCTCAGGGACTAGATAGATCCAGCCCACCGAGCCCCATCCTCTGGCCCCTGGTGCTGCCTCTGGGTCTTGAATTGACCCAGACACCACATGCGGGGCCTACTCTGGCCAGTTTGGGCCCTGTGCTGCACACAGTGCCTACGCTAGCAGGTTTGGGATCTGTGCTGCATTCAGTCTCCCCCATGGGTGCTTCAGGGCAGTTTCCTCATGCAGTGTGTGTCCCAGACTGGACAGAGTTGGTGTTGTGTGGTGTGTGTACTCCCGACCAGCCCTGCACAGGTGCTGTGTGTGACGAAGTCCTGGACCAGCCAGAGTGAGTGCTATGTGCATTAGCAGAGTAGTAGTCCATGGGCCCAGTCTGACTCGTGGGGCCAGTCATGTGCCATTCATCTGGCTCCTGGGGCTAAGTGAGATTGACACTCCTGAATGCAAGGATGAAATGAACCGTATTTACTTATTGTCATGCTGGCAAAAGTAGGTTAACTAAATATATTTGTAATTATTGCAGTTACGATTTTCTATACTGCCATCACTGGAAACTTGGAAAAGGAGGTAGTCACTGTGTTTTTCCTTATATGCTTTTGGCAAGGGCTATCAACATACCTATAGCTATGATTTTCTTCCTGAGTGTCAGTTCTTAGCCCATCTACATGAAGGTCTCATCTTCTGTCTTTGTGCTAAACACATGATACTGAACTTCAGTGATACTGCTGTAAAAATATTTTCATTTCCTTCCCAGCTTTACTTGGGCTGATTTTGCAAATGCTTTAGTCAAAGTTAAGTTAAGCACATGCTTAGTTTTACTACTTTTTAGTTGTCTCCTGCATGTGCACATAAATTTAAGCACATATACATATACTGAAGGCAATAAACAGCCTACTCTGCAATATTTTGCCACAGATATTTCATACTTGAATTATTTTTGGCCTCAAGCTACTCATAGATACATTTCTTATTGCAAACTTTCCAAAAATTTGGAATATAATCTAACTACTTTTTAACCTGTCATTCCTACTTTTCTCCAATGATATCCAGTTCTCAGGGAGAAAGTTTTAATACATCGATAGTCTGGAACTGTGTGGTAGGCCTAGCCCTATGGGGTGGGGGTCGTATATCCTAGCTGTTGGCTAGCCTGCTCCCTTCCCTTCTCTAGCTTCTCCAGTCTGATCCACCCACTGCCCTCTATCTCGCCTGCCATGCCTTGATGGAATCAATTAAGCAGGAAGCATCTGGAACCTTTGAAGTAGCAGGGTTTCCCTTGTGCGGCTTAGCTTCCCGTTGCACACTTGCCTAGGCCCTGACCCTCTCAGCTGGGGCCTGATGTGCTCTAGCTGCTCCCGTCAGCCCTGGACCCACTCAGTCCAGCCTCAGCTCTCTAATAGCAGCAGCACAGCTGGGAATTAGGCTCCACAGTAGGCCTCTGGCCTTCAGGTTCCCCAGCCTGAGAGGAGTTAAATCTCTCACTCTCTTTTTCTCTTGTTTCTTTTGAGCACTCGCAGTTGCACATGCGCTTTCTCTCTCGTTATATGACTCCTTGCCTTGCAAGCAACCTCCACCTACCCTCAGTCACTCTTGGTCCTCTGGCTCTCCTATACAAAGCAAAAAGGAAAAAATCCCAGTGGAAAGTTCTTCCTCTGCTTTAGGGTAACAAACACAGTCTTTACTCTGGGCTTCGCTCCATGGGCCTGCTGCCTAACTCGTCCAGAAACACTAAGGGAAAACGGCAGCAAAACTCAGTCCCCCTTGTGGGGCTGCTTAGTGTCCGTTTGCACTTTCTCTCCCTCTGACAGGGAGCCTTCTGCCCTCTCTGTGCTCAAGGCTCAGGGGATAAATAGGGCAGGCCTATTTATCCCCTAAGCTCTGCCTGTTCTAGCCAGCCCAGCCTACTAGCTGTCTTGAATACAGGGTGGTCCCAGGCCCCAAATCCCTTCTCTTACAGGGCCTTTGCCAGTTCTGCTGGCTTTGTAGCCCTGTGCCAGTAACAGGGTGAGGGTCCCTTGTTACAAACTGCCAACTGAACTCATAGCTAGGAAGTCCTAGATGCAACATAAAAAAAAGAAAAGAAATAGGAGTTAAGAATTTATTTTTGTGTATTTTTTTGGTGCACTGGTCATGAAATCAATGTAATCGTTTTACATTGCTTACCTTTTATAATTGTTTTCTTAATTATTTAGGAAAACAAGACATTTTATCAGTTTTACTATGCAAGCATCAGAAATGCAGATATTTAGCAACATGTAGCATTTAACAAAAAGAAATTAATTACTACTTTCAGTTTACAGAAATGTAATGAAAGGTATCTGATTTCCCTATATTACCGTGTCATTAGCTTTATAATGAATACATTATTTAAATGTTGCTTGGACAGATTTACTGAACTAAAATAAGTTACTCTCTAATTCCCAGTAACAACATTATTTCTATGCAGTGTTCTAATACTTTCATATTTTGTTCCACAGGAGCTAATGATATATGTTAAACTTCTGTTTTTAGATGAGTTGCATACTTTTTTTACAAACGTCAATATATTTCATGACATCTTTGTATGAGAAATGTTTTATTTCATTTTATAGAAGGGACAATGGAGATGTAAAGGGAAAGTGAGTCATCCCCCCATTCCCCACAGTCAATTTTAAGTGAGAGGCAGAAATAAGACTAAAAGACAAATCTTTCGAAGTCCTGGGCTCCAGTCCATAGTGCCTCTAATGAGAGAAAATTCCACTCTATCATTTGGGTCTTGCTATTTTGCAATAGACAAATACAATATGGAAAAATCTTTTTTTTTTTTCTTTTTTTTTTGTTGTTAAACTGTTAATTTTCCTTCCAGCTATGTTGAGGATGTCAGAAGACCATGTGCTTCCAGAGCTGAACAAGGTAGTAGCAGCATTTTTATCAGCTATTTTTATAATGTTTCCATATCAGTTTAATTCTGCTGGTGGTCCATACTACAATACAAATAGGAACAAAAATAAGCCATGGGTGGGGGTTTTTTTAGTATTTAGATTTAATACTCATGTCCTTGCTATTCTTCTGGAATAATTAGTGTATTAAGTATCCTCAGTTTCACAGTAATATATATGTTCAACCTTACATTTAATGCATTAAAAAACATTCTCACTTTTCTTTATGAAGTTTAGTAACTAAAGTCTGGTGATATTATGGGTGGGGTGGTTATATAGACAGTCTTTCAGTGGCTTGGATGAATATACTTTGTATTCCAGTCTCCAGTAATAAAGTGGTTTCTAGGCCCTGTGTGCTAGTACACATTGTCCCCACAAAACTGGAAATAAAATTTTCGCTCCACTACATTCACCAGGGCCAGGATTTCACACAAGGGGCTCCCATGGTTTAATAAGGCAGGAAGTAAGGCAGGGTGGCACCTTACAATACTAGTTCAGGGAGTAATGAGCTTTCATAAGCAATCCTCATATCTGATTTAAATATGTATAAACATACAGATAAATAAAATAGATGTAAATAATCCTTATATACCAGATACAAACAAATTTTTACCCAAGCAAGTCCCCTAGTGCAAAATGCTTTTAAAGGAAAGTATATTATTGTAAGGTATGTTCTCTTTTGGCTGAAGTAGAATATTTATTGCAACCCAGAAAGTGGCAGTAAATGAAGTAAAGCTCCATGTGACAGGGAAATTGTGCCGAAAATATAACAAAGTTCCTACCCTATCGTTTACCGTTGCTTATCATACTGCTGGCCCATGTCTGCAGTGACCAATTCAATTCCCAGTGGACAGGTGTCCAGTCAAAACTTCATTGGCAGAAATTCACTTTAAAGTGCCTTTAAAATCACCCTGATTCTGAAAATGGATGGAAAAAATATTCTTTTGGCTCCAGGCTTTGAATGTAACTATCTATTAATAGTTTGTCTGTCTGTGAAATTCCTTCTTTCGTGAAAGATCACATAAGCTTTTACTAATGTGTAGCTGTTTTTAGAATTCAGTTTTTCTTAAGTGAAATTGTTGCTTCTCTATATTCATAACCAGATGGCAAAATTACTACATTGTTCTCACGGTGAAGCACATTATATATGTTTGAATTTAATTTATTTTGTAGTCTAATTCTTCCCATTTTATTTCTGCTAGATGACTCAGAAAGACATAACATTTGTTGCCGATTTTCTTACTGAACACTTCAATGAGGTAAGGTACATTAGTTTACTGAATGTTTTTATGCATGCAACCTAATTTTAGTTTTTTCTGCTGATAACTGAATTGGAAAGACTAGTTGGATTATTTTTCATATTGAGAAATATGGATTTTTAAAATTTAATTTCATGGACTGCAGTATTGTCAAGTCAGTACTTTTGCATTTTAAAATTCGGCTTTACGTTTGTTTCAGGCACCAGAGCTCTATAATCGTAAAGGAAAATACTTCAATGTTGAGAGAGTTGGCCAGGTAAAATAGTGGATTATATACTGAGACAAGAAACACAAAGGATATGAGTAAACACAAGCTGGGATAGATGGACAAGAAAAGATGGGATCTACTAATAAGAGAATGCGGTTATTGAAACTATATGTGCTGTCCTTTAATGTTCCTTCATGCTCATCTATCTGCAAAGAGAAAAACTGTTCTACCTCTTATAGGGAAAGACTGTTTATTTTTATTTTCCTCATCTCCATGGTACTTTAGAAAAGCTGGGGTTGGTGAGGGCAGGAATAATTTTATAACTAAAAATGGTCAAATATAATTGAAATCTGCTTGTGCAATGCCTTTAGATCATGAAGCCAGTAGTATTAGAATTTAAAATTGTAGGTGCGTAGAGCAGATTTACAATCATATTTGATTTGTTACACCTGTTTGGATAGCATGACATGTTGAGAAACCAACAGTAACCCAATTAAGAATTTAGAATAAATTTTATTATCTAGACATTGTAGAAAGGAAGCATAAAATATGAATTATTTTTTATTAAATCAAAACTAATTAAGTGAAAATATTTTGACATATTTTGACATTTATCCAGGGAATGAATCCTAGTTACCTTGATAATAACTGCTTGGTATGAATTTATTCTCTGATTCCAGTACTTAAAAGATGAAGATGATGACCTAGTTTCACCACCTAACACAAAGGGAAACCAGTGGTTTAACTTTCTTAAAAATAGCACACATCTCAAAGGTATTGTATGCTGGTCTTATGCTGTGAATCAGAGATATGTTTGCAAACTTGACAAAACTAAAATCACACTTGTATAAGTATGAGTACAAATAGTGTCAGTTTTTGAATCTCTCTCTGTGTAGGAAAAATATAAAGGCTTATTTGTTTCCATTCAAGAACAACTATATACAGCATTGTCAAGAAACCTTTGATTGAGCTAGGCCGTAGTTTGCTTCATTTTTTCCCTATGGATTAGAGAATTTCTTTTCCTTTACTTAAAAATAATGAATATGTAGGCCTGGAAGGTGCCTCATGATGCAGAGCAAATTATTCTGAGGTAGGATTTGTGTGCAGCTAGACCAGGGGTGGACACTTATTTCATCTGGAAGGTTATTATTTTCGAAGTGGTAGGCAGACCTGCTCCCTGCTTCCCAGGGGAGTCACAGCAGCTGCATGTGGTGGCAGGGAGTGGGGCCAGGCTGCCAGCTCCATTACATGGGGCTTCACCCCAGTGGCATGAGACTCCTGGGAGCTGCACGTGAGTCCTGCGTGATAGAGGTGGGCTTGTATGGCCCTGCTCCTTGCTGGCATGTGCAGCTCCTGGAACTGGCTGGAGCCATTTGCCACTGGGAGGCCGTTCCTGCATGGCCCTTGAGCATCCCAAGGGCCCACCACCCATAGCAGAGGCTGTGCACCATGGGGAGGGTGTGTGGGGTGGTCTGTGTCGTCCCCCCCACACACACACGCACATCTCTGCGCTTCTGCCCAGCTGTAGCTTCCTTACCTGCTTCCCGAGTGAGTGCTGCAACACAACGAGGAGATGCTGGAGGCCAGGGAAGCTGAGCAGGTCCCCTGGTGGCTGCAGCAGTGGAAGCAGCAGCCCTACTGGAAGTTGTCTACTGGCTGGGGCCCTCCCATGCATTAAGGTGGTAGTGAAGCATGTGGAGTATAATTCATTGGTGGGCGCCCGCAGGCTAGATGAAATCACCCCTGAACTAGGCCATTCCTAAACTAAGCCATTCCTGACAAGTATTTGTTTGACTTATTTGTAAGCCTTCACTAAAGAGGAGTCTACAGACTTTTTAGGTAGCCCTTCTACATCTTTTTGTGAAGTACAAAACCCCAAATTGGATGTGGTGCTTTAATGGAGGTCTTAGCAGCACTGAGGGTAATGATCTCCTGTGTCTTGCGTATGACAGTCTCGCTAGTTATCTTTGAATGATACGTTTGACTTCTTTGCAACAGTATTGTATGCCTGGTTTATATTCTGTATGCTATCAGCTGTACCCCCAGGTCATTTTCTGCATCATGGTTATTTAGTGAGATATTCCTAATCTTGTATTGGTGTATTTGATTATTCCAGTGAACCGCTGATAACTGCAATTTCAGTATAATTTTTCAATCAGTGTTGTACCTGCTTCATCATAATTTCATGTAGGCCAAATTTACTTCCTCCTTGTTATTATGTACGTTAGACAGAGCTGCATTATGATGAACATCAGGTACTAACTATATTGGTGGTAAAATTAGGAATTCTAATTTTCACACAATAAGAGAGACTGTCCCTCAGACCACTTTCTGGTCATTCATGGTTTACTAATATCCTTATGGCAACTATATCAATTATTTGCATGGCAAAGCAATAGCAGGGTCATTGTATATAGAATGTATTCATCATCCAAGATTTTACTTGAAAAAAATCTGTCTATATAAAACGCTTAAGTAGTAAGATATACCTCAAAAATTAGGAATGCATGCATTTTAAATATATCTTCCTGCAGCATAAGGTAACTGAAAACAAGGAAATCCAAGCTGAAAATTATTCCATTGTATCCAGACAATAGATACTGTGAGAGACAAGAAACCATTTTTGTTGTTGTTGTTTAGCAGTGTGCTTGATGACATCATACATCCTAATTTTTAGTTTGAATTAACTGACATGGAAGAGATCTGCAAAGAGAGCTCAAGTTCTGAATCCTGGATTCTGTTCCATATAACAGCACATTGTACTCTGACTGAAATGGAAACTCATATAATTGTAGCTTTATGAAGAACATGTCTTTTACTAATATCAAATGATTTTTCTACAGAAAGCCCATTGCTGTTTCCCTATTATCCCCAGAAATCGCTACATTTTGTCAAAAGGCAAATGGAGGGGATCATTGATCAGTGTCTACAAAAACCAGCTGTAAGTCCTGATCTGAAAAGAATATTAAGGGGTCTTTTGAGGCCAGCCATAGTTGGTACTCTGATCATTTACACAAAAGTGAATTAAGCCCTTTGGACACTGTTAGCCCTATAGTCTGAGGTCCCTTTTTTAGCCACAAAATATCCACAAATGTCAGTATTGCAGCTTTCCCCTCTCTAGTGTTTCAGTCTGCCCTGGCGCATTCAGAAAAGGTAGTTAAGTCTCTCTGCCTATTATGTTCTTTGCATCTCCTGAGCATCATAAATGAGTAACAACTATTTTTAATTTCAATTCATTTTGTTTCCTGAGGAACAATATACTACTTTGTACGCTTACATTTAAACCAGGAATGTCACATGATAATGGCTTTTGTAATATAGAAATCAGTTCACTAGAGATTGGGCTGGGTTCTTTCCTTTTTATAATAAGAGAAGAATATAATAAAAGAAACTATATGTGAGTAGCCGAGTAATTTTCTTTCAGTATTTTTGTAATGTTTTGATTATATGCTCTAGGATGTGATTGGAAAGTCAGTACATCAAGTAATCTGCATTTCCCTCTACAAAATGTCTCAAAGGTATATATTTTCACATTATATCTAGGTTTTATTTGCACAAAATTTGTGTTATCTTCTAACTTGTTTTGGTTTTCCTTTTTAGTGAGGAATCCGTACCTCAATTATTTAAATTACCTTTCCTGTAAGTATACCGCTGAATTTTTTTTCCTTTTCCCTATTGTATTTCATTTGTAAAATATTGTATTTGATATAAATATTTTTTAACATTTTAGGTGGAATAACAAATCCTCCAGTACACATTATGTTATCTTCACCATCGCAGAAAGTTCCATTTCAAAAATTTACATTTTGAGGAGGCATACGGATACTTCTAGGTAAGAAACTGACTGGACTGTGATACAGCAGCCAGGGCCATGTAGATCCAATTATGCTAAAAAGAACTAATTGCCATAGTATTGAGTTTAGATGCATAGAAACAAGGGACTAGAAGGAGTCCTGCATTTGCAGGCAACCATTTATTCAAAGCATCCATTAAAGCATCCATTCAACTCCTCTTATACATTGCAGCTGGAAAAAAACCCAGTAAAAACCTAGGAGGAACAAAGGTGCTTCTCATGTCTAGTTCACTGGAATGGAAAGAGTTATGTAAAATAAGTTCTAATGATCCTAGGAAGTGGACCTTCCCCATGCTACAGAAGAAGGCAAAAACACACAAGTGACCTTTGCCAGTCTGACCTGACCTGACAGAAAATTCAATCCTGATCCCAAATCTGGTAATCAGTTTGATCTTGGCCACAAGAGCAAGATGAGAGGGTTCTTAGTACCATTAGGAGGGCTAGTTCACCAGCACTGCAGTCACAATAAAGAAATGGTTCCTTTGATAAGGAAATGGCTAAATATATGCTGCCCCTTCACATCAGTAAGCAACAGTGGTAACCATTGCATAGGTTTATCTTCCTTAGTAAATATTCATCTTGTGAATCCCAGGTAGCTTGTGATTATTATTTAGGCTTTTCATGATTGTTATAGAGCTCAGCACATTAAAAAGGAACTCATTTATACTAATAAAATTACGCTTATTCATTTCTTGGAGTAAATGCCAAGATTCCAGCATTATAATCTGCCTGGTAACTGACTCCCCAGCCCAGTCCAGCCCCTGGCTTGTTTACTTTTCATTCCATCCAGGAAGAGCACACACCAACTGCTGCAGCTTCCTGAGCCTGACGAAGGGTTTTTGAACCCGAAAGCTTGCTTAATAACTATTCTCCAACCATTTGGGTTGGTCTAATAAAAGATATCAAATTCACCCAAGGAACCTTGTCTGCCAAGATTCCAGCATAACTTTTGTAATTTTGGTCCTTTTTTCCCATGTTGCCAAGATCAACCCCAACTCCATTAGAGCTGTTGGGTAAATGGTAAGGCTTGTTGCTTTAGGCAAGGCTTTACTAATCCTGTTCAGCAGCTGATTTATGAAGAGAAAATACATAGTCTAACAGAACTTGGTTCAGAGCATTTGAGGTTGGGGTGTAAGAGAGGAATTATTGTCTTGTAAGATCAGTTATGTTTTTGAGGTGATGCCCTTTAGTATGAGTTTGCCTGAGGCTCTGTCCTTTGCTTCTTCCCTTGCACGTCGCACCCATTTCCTTTAATACTGGATGTACCTTACGCATTGCTTCTCTGTCTAAATCTAAATAGGCTGCATAGTCTCTTCCAGCAGCCTCTTTAAGTTTTTGAATTTCCAGTATGTTAGTATGAGTTTTTAGGAACTATTCACATAGATGGGGTTTTTTTCCTCCTTTTTCCTTTAGGTCTGTTAACAATGGGCTACTTGCTGTGGAGTTTGGAAACTTCTTGAACAACAGTATAAATGAAAGCTCAGAATCAAGGTTAGTATGTCTGGAAAGTAGCAGCTTTGTTAACTTGCACCTGGGTTCTTTTAAGTCTTGTTTATTCTACTTAGTAGCTGTTTTTTCATATTTATACTTTGTCTCTGATCCTGCAAGTTGCCTTCGGGATCCTCTCTTCGTTGCAATCCCATTAAGTCAGTGAAGATCTTTTTGCTGGGCTTCACCTACATGCAGTAACTTGCAAGAGTGAATGGAGTTATTTTGTACTTAAAGAAATGATTATAGTTATCAAGATAGAAACACAATGAAACTGCTTTTGCCTAAGCATGGAACATTTAAAAACAGTGAGCCAAAATGAGATCTTATCTTCTAATAACGCACTGCAGAATTTTGTAGTGATGCTGGTGACAATGATACCATATTTACTTAATTCCAAGACCAAGTTATTTCCCCATTTAACATAAGAAAAACCAACCCTCATATTTGAATCGGGTATCAGAAGGCTCCAGCTGGGGAGTTGCCTGCTCATGGGGCAGCATCAGTGGCACTCAGGTTCTTCCTTCCAGTGTCTGTTCCCTTCCTGGCTCCTCTCCCAACTCCCTTATTGGCAGAGAGCAGATACTGGAAGTAGGAATCTGTGTGCTACTGTTTCAGTCCCCAGGTGAGCTGGGCTCCCTGTACAGCCAGTTCTCCCAGCTCCCAGCTAGAGTGGTCCAACTCCCAACTGATCTGGCCATGGGAGGAGCCCCAGAGCCACTTCTGCTCCCTGAAGCTGGGCTCCCTGCACAGCTGCTCCCTGCAGTGCAGGGCAGGAGTGGCCTTGTGGCTCCCTCCATGCCTGCTTCAGCAGAGGACTACAGCAGTATCACATGTGTTCCTCCTTCCAGTCCCTACTCCCCTCAGCAGAGGGGACACAAGGGGTCAGGAAGGGAGCTGGGCCAGGAACAGGAGCTGGAAGTAATAATGTGTGTGTTGACTCTGTTGTCCCCAGCTGAGCTGTGCTCCCTGTATAGCTGCTTCATGCAGTGCAGGGCATGAGGAGCTCAGGGGCTCTCCCTGTGTCTAGATAAGCCAGAGACAACAGTGGAAGTGGGGTGGGGCAAGTGGTGGGGAAGCAGGTCGGGGGGAGGAGAGAGGGAAGAAGGATGCTTGCCCCCCATGCTGCCTGCCTTTCCACTGCAGCAGCAGTGGGGGCAAAGGGTGGGGACGGGGCATGTTTCAGATAACCCTCCAAAAATTAGCTTCTAGGCATGGAAAATTATAACAAGTTTATAATTTTCTATGTCTAGAATCTATTGAGGGATTATTTTAAATTCAAAGTCTCGGATTCAGGTAAATACAGTAATTTATTCAGCACAGACATTTTGATGGAGGGCTCCAACCCAGGACTCCTTTTTTCCCCATAGAAAAGCTATGTCAGGTCAACTTATCCTTTTAGCAAAGGAGGGATAATGGTGGTGGCTGTCAGAGCCCACCAACCAATTTCCCCTTTAGCAACTTTAGGAGTTTCCTGCCCTTTTGGAGGAAGGGACAAGCTTTGTACCTACCTATTACATTGCTGACTAAACAGTAGACTAGCCAATTCTAAATCTTTCTGTAACTTTGAAGAGTATTAAATGTAATGAGCATTCTGCAACAGGAGTCAGCAACCTTTTGGGAGTTAAATTAGGGTAGCTTGCTCTAAAGGCAGGATGTTACTTTCAACCCAGCTGCCACCTCTCTCGCTGCCACCAACTGTAAATACTGTAAAAAGCTATTTATACTTTTTGTAAGGCATGATGGAATACAATTAAACACAGCATTACTTTTGTTATAGGTTCTACAGTTGTTTAGATGCCCATTTTTATGATGATGAAACTGTAACTGTAGTTCTTAAGGAAAATGCTGAGCAAGAGGGGAAAGAAAGAATCTTGGCTCAGTTGCCTTTATCTTCAGTGTACATTGAGGACCAAGAAAGGGGATTCAGCTGGGATCTAAGCAAAAGGTATTGCATTACTTTTATTAATTCCATGAAAATGCAGAACTGAAAAGTAGAATTAACTAACATTTCAGCCATAATTATCTGAATATAAAAATAGAATACAATTGCTTAAATATTGTCTAAAAATAAAAGGGGTTATATTTACAGGTTTACAGTATGCACATTTTAAAGACAAGACTTTCTTTTGGGAGGGAAGCAGGTTATGTTTGATTATAACTTCCAAATCAATTTTTCAGTCTGTTTTATGTATGTTTGAAATCATAGGTTGTGTTTGTGTGTTCTTATCTGCTCTTGTGACATGTGGGTGCCAATTTTGAGAATGCTTTAAGGAAGCAAGAACTTTTTCCACTTCTGAATATAAGGGCTATAGTTTTTCTACTCCTAACAGTTCTAGAGGCTCTTGAACAGGAGTGGGTACACTAAATTTGCAATGGCACTGATATCAACAGGATAATATAAAGTTGAGAGAGATTTCTTGCTTATTCGCCCAGCGGTTGCCCACTGAATATCATCCACATCTGGTGAATGGAACAGAATGAAATAATCTGTAAAACAACTTAATTCATGCCTTTCTATATTTCTATTGATATAATAGCAGATAAGAGAAATATTGGAGGGAACTAAAGAAAAATCATATATCATTGGACAAATCTAGTATTTATGCAGTAAGAAAATTATGGTCTAAAATGTTTTTTCCTTGACACACTTAGGTTAGATGAACAATGTGATGATATTTCTACACGTACTGTCTTTTTGGAGAGTCAGTGGAGAGTACTGGAGAATATGAAAGCCCAGTATGTTGCTGTAAACGGCATTAGAAAAGTTTCTTGTGTGGTAAGTACCACATTTAGAGAGAGCATGGAATTCTTTTAGATAATTTTTTTTTGCTTGTTATGACTAAAGAAATTGATACTATATTTTTTTGTTGATTTGACTTGAAAAAAATATCAATGTCCTCTGTACTGCAACAAAATCATTAGAAGAGGTAACGATAATTTTTCTCCAGTCCATGATGCAGAAAGTTTATTAGAATATTTGTGACTTCTGTTTTAAAAAAAATGAGAGGGAGGGATGAATAGGCTTGTGTAGACATACTTACCTTGCTTTAAATCAGTAACATGCATGAAGTAGCAGAAATTTTAAAACAAGTTTACTTCAACTTTTTACTCTGGTACCTGAGGACTCAATTTAAAAGAAAATGCAGCTTTTGGTAAACATTAATTTTAAAAGCATGACCCACATCTTCAAGACATTTGTATCGTGTGTGTGTGTGATAACACACACTTTTTTGTTAATGAAAAGTTTTAAATATTTTTATAGCTAAGCTCAAATCTTCGTCATGTGAGAGTGTTTGAGATGGATGTAGAAGATGATGGAGAAGCAGAGGAAGAGGAGGAGGAGGAAACTACTCAAACAGGAGGTGGAGAGCATGAGCTGAATCAGTCAACAGATAACCAAGACAATGTGTGTGGCGGTTCTGCTGAACTGGCAGAAGAAACAGGAGAACTTGAATCAAACTTGGATTCTTGACCTAATCCTTGATATTGGTACAAAGACGTAGGAGCAACCTCTCTAGTTTCAAACAAGTGATACTTTTTCTTTATACTGTATCCATGTATTGAGCATGTGAATCTTGTGGATATTTTAGAATATACTACTTGACTCCCTAGACAGAGCCATTTCTTTTTTTTTCAGTTCCACCTTTTGAATGCTCCTTCTCTTAAAATGTTAAACAAACAGTATTTTTTTCTGAAGTAATGCAGTGTGGGTGGGTGGGAAGGAAGTGAGCCTGGAAACCACCTCAGGTACAGCTACCCTGTTGAGTATGAAAAACGTATCTGCCTTCAGGTAAGGGTCAAGTTTTCATGCATTTAAACCAGGCGTCTGTTTAATATTCCTGTCAAAGTTTAGAGTTGCATGTGCTCTGTAAATTTGGACTCCACAGGCATAGATTTGCTTGGTAATGCAAACTTGTAGAAAGATTAATCTAGCTGTAAACACTTGGCATACATTTTTAAACCTTCCTTGGGTTACCAAGAACATAAAAACAAAACCCTCACCAACTACTTAGGGTCTTTAGACTGTGTGTGTGTATATATCTAGACACAGAAGTATGTAGTTCTGAAAATCCCCTTTTCTTGTACTTAATGTTGTAAAAATATAAAATTGCAGAGAATATATTTTCTATTCTGATATCTGTTTGTGTGCCCCACAGTTTTCATCAGTTTTACCATGTTCATTTTCTTTACTAATTTATATGTATATTAGAAATGTTACAGTGCTAACTGATGAAAGCTAAAGCCTTTTAAAACGTGAAATTTGTGCCTCCTGCTGACTAATTTTACTTCATTTTTATAAGTGTGGTTCAGCTCTTTGAAATAACAGTTTTGCTAAATACTTAACCCTCCCTTAGAGCGGTAAAACTGTGAACTTGAGATGGTAAAAAGCTCTTTAGGTAGGTCTGCTTCTGCATTTCTTTCAGTTAAAATACCTAAAACTTAGAGCTGTTCTAAACCTCTCCTCTTTATCTGCATGATGCTCTGAACTGAGTCTAGAAGTTCATGTTCTCCATGATAGTAATATGTTAATTTAAAAGTTGACCCTCCTCATCTGCTGTATAATTTTTAGTTTTAAAGTTTCTGAATTCTTTCATACAAAAAGAGCTTCATTTACATGAACTGGTATGATTTGAGCTCCTCAAAAATCACATTATAACTGGATGGAAGGAGATAATAAGTGGGATAGTTACATAAGAGGCACAGGATGTGTCCCTTAGGGAAGAACACAGAGGGAGATGTAGGCAGACTCCCTCCACCTCTTATCTTAAGAACCTCCTTGGAGAAAAGAGAGTTACAGGGAGGATGAACCTCAGTAAAGGGAGTGGAAGAAACTAGTAATTCACAAAGCACTAACAGAAGGCCTTTGGCCAGACTGGACTGATTGCATCCGATCCCGTCCGATCTTGGAAGCTAAGCAGTCCCAGACCTGGCTAGTAACCGGATGGGAGGCCGCCTGGCCTTTGGGCGGATGAGAATAAGATGGGATTCAATACTGGCAAGTGCAGGGTACTGCACCTAGGGATAAATAACCAGCAGCATACCTACAGGCTGGGGAACTCCCCTCTCTAGCACAGAGGCAAAAATGGATCTTGGGAGTCATTATAGACTTCAAGATGAACATGAGCCGCCAATGTGGGGATGCAGTCAGGAAGGCTAATCGCACCTTGTCATGCATCCACAGGTGCATCACGAGCAGGTGCAAGGAGGTGATCTTCCCTCTCTCTATGCGACACTGGTCAGACTGCAGTTGGAGTACTGTGTCCAGTTCTGGGTGCTGCACTTCAGGAGGGATGTGGACAGCATTGAGAGGGTTCAGAGGAGTGCCACCTGCATGACCAGGGGACAGCAGGGCAGGCCCTATGAGGAGAGGCTACGAGACCTGAACCTGTTCAGCCTCCACAAGAGAAAGCTGAGAGGGGATCTGGTGGCTGTCTATAAACTGGCCAAGGGTGACCAGCAGGCAATGAGAGAGTCCCTGTTCCCCCGAGCACTACCGGGAGTAACAAGGAATAACGGCCATAAGTTAACAGAGTAGATTCAGGCTAGATACCAGGAGGCACTACTTCACAGTCAGTCAGGGTGGCTAGGATCTGGAACCAACGTCCAAGGGAAGTGGTGCTCACTTCTACCCTGGGGGTCTTCAAAAGGAGGCTAGATAATCACCTAGTCGAGGTCGTTTGACCCCACCATTCATTCCTGCCCAGGGCAGGGGTTCGGACTCGATGATCTGCTCAGGTCCCTTCCGACCCTACCAACTATGAAACTAAGGGAAGCGAAGGGGAGAGGAGCGAGTTAGAGGGAAAGGGCATTACGGAGCTGAGAACGCTAGGTCTGTGAGGTGTGTTTAATTATACTCCTCTTTAATACTTCCCTGGGGTGACGTAGTAAAGGTAATCATATCCAAGAGAGCCGCATGGGAACTAGACTTCCACAAGAGAGACTTTTGGTCCTAGCAAATGGCTGATTTAAGATCAATACTTGACTTCTGGCAGAAATGATGCCTGGCATTCTCCTTTCCCCCAGGGGGCACCAAAGGGCTACTGCTGTGCTTGGGAAGCTGCTGCCTGTGAGGATGCGAGCACTCTTGCGGTGTGCCCACAAGGCCTTCAGGTGGGAACACTAACATTATTGCCTCAGGTGAGATGAGAATCCAGTGCAGCAAGACAAAGGGTATTCATGGGAGGACCAAAGTAGCAGCAGCCCTCGCCTCCTACGCTGTCTCCTTGAACTTAAGGCAGGTCAAGTAAGGGCTGGTTAGATGGAACAGTAGCAAAAGTGCCCAGCCCTGTGGGTAAAAGCAGCCCAAGTATGTGAGCAGGCAGCCAGGGCTCGAGTTGAAAAGGGACTCGTGCAGGGAAGTGCCTGACTTCTGGGTGCCATGATGCCCTGTGGGCTCTCCAGCCTGCATGGATTAGTGTGGGCATGTTTGGCCCTCACAGAAACATGCTGACAGATACCAGTAAGATGAGTGTGGAAATGCTGAAGTGAAAGTAGGCTTAAGCCCCAACCGTCAGTGGTATTTAGGCCCTGAAGTCCAGGCCAGAGAGGGCCCTGTCTTTGTCACAATGAGCAACCAATCCCACTGTACGCAGTAGCTCTGTGGTCAGGGCTACTACTACACGCGGTTCATGTCTGACTTGGAGTTAGGGGGCATTTTGCCATTTATACAAACACACGCCCAGTGCTCTGCGGCGCAAACGTGTACAAATGGCATGGAATGCAATAGGATCCATTTATGGTACATCAGGACTACTGGGTAATATGGGTTTGGGTGTGATGTTAGGGAAGGAAAAGAGAGAGGATATTTTAAAACTCATCACAATCGATACAAGATTCTCTGATAGCTGGACCTGAGAAACCATAGACCAACAGATCTGTTAACAAGTAGTATACTCATGCTTAGGAGTCTACCTAACTCAAGGAGGCAACCACCTGATTTTGCAGGGAGATCTTGGGGCTGGGCACCATTTTCACAGGCTGAATGGGGTGGGGAACCCCCATGCCTCTCTTTGGCTGAAGGGCCCCGGTGGCCCTGCCGGCAGTTGCCAGATGGCTTGAAACCAGGCTTAATTACCCTGATTAAGCCATTAATCCAAGTTTAGTAATGTATAGATTAATGGCTTCCCTGGGCTTAATCAGGATAATTAAATCACAGTTTAGGGCCAGCCCCAAGCAAGCAGATGCACTGGACTCTGCAGACCCCCAGCCCAGCTCCTTGCCATCAGTGGGTGCTCACACACCTCAGGGCCAATGTTAGGAATGGGTCTAGGGCTGTGCTGCCCCTGGCTCCTTCTCCGTTGACCCTGAAGGACATGTGCGCCCCCGAGCAGCGAGGAGCCGGGATGTGGCTCTGTGGATCCCAGCACAGTCACTTACAGCTTCCTAGCTGCCTACCACAGCTGGCCCAGGCAGCCCCTACTGCCAGCCATGGAGCAGGCTGCTTATAGCTTCTCTGTTGCCTGCTGTGAGCCCTACCCCATGCTCTAAGACTGTAGGGCTTCTCTCTGCTTACCCATAAGTTTTCACGGAGCCTGCCATTTTTCTCAGAAAACATCTGATTACTCATTTTCTGCACAAATCACATAATTGTGCTTTTGGTAAGACCCTATTCATGCTTACGCTCTCTATATTTAGCCTGTAAGCTCATTTGATTATGTTTTACTTTTAATTGAATGTTTCACATTATTGCAATCTCACAGAGTTGAGCTGGAATTGGCTCTGAAAGAGTCAAAGCAGCAGTGTTGAAAGAAAAAAAAAAAAAGGCAAAAAACAATCAGAGAATCTTTATTAGGTAAGTTGTAATACTTAATTAAAATTTCCATGTAGCTATAGCAGACTTAAAGAATAACGTATCATTAAGAATAATACATCACCTAAACAAAATACAGTTGATTAGGCCGTTGGGTAATTCAAGCACTGAACAGATAAGAGTGGAATCTGATAACATGCTAAGATGTATTTCAAGTCAAAGATCCCATTTTAATGCTGCTGTATCCCCATTTATGTTACATGGCCTATTGCATTAAATCTATCAACACATGCCAATATAAGTTAAGAATAAAAACAGGAAAAGGTGGGGGGAAACAAGCTATGTTTTAAACCTCACCAGCTGCATTTTTATATATGCATTTATTTATTTACCAAAGACATCTCAAATCAGTTCTTAAATTTCTCTTATCCTAAAATTGAAATATTCTTGCTTCTTCAACTTTGCTTTCTTATTCAACCTAACTCCTTTAGCTTTACTAAACCTGTACTCTATAAATCATTTAAATTAAACTTAAAATTTGGCTTCTCTTAAACTTGCTTGGGCAACAGTGTATAATTCCTAACATGAACAGCTGGATTCCACTCCTTCAGTAGAGGTGGCCTTTTGGAGACTTGGATTCCTTCTCTTTCTCTACAGATTTAAAATGAATTGGGTAAGATCAAGGGTGAGCTCCTATATAAAGAAGTCCTGTAATGAATGCATAGACCTGTCCTAGGATGCACTCAAAACAGCCTTTACCTTGTTAACAACCACAGATAAGAAGGTAGGGCAAAGGTTTGGCTATTCTGGTAACTTATTTATTTTAGACCAAATGGATGAATAACCTACAGTTTCCTTAGGTTAACTCAAAAAGCAGCTGCTTAAAATGCTTCAGTAAAATGAAAAATAAACTTTCTCTCTTGGATATGGAATAAGCAGAATTTCTATTTACTGGTTTGTGGGGCTTAGATCTGAAGCACATGATAAAGTTTTTCACTTTTCTCTTTTAGAAATATATGAAATGTCTTGCTTTTCTAGAGTGTAACAGTGTCGGTGGTTCCTGCTTTTAGTTAGTCCTCAGAATGCTGGGAGATGGAAGAGAGGTTTGGGATTTGCAGCATTTTGATGCAGTATTATTAAAATATGACTTGTTAATTGTTTTCAAATATACTGCTGATTAGATCATTTATTTTGGAATGTATGTGCAATTAACATGCATTTTTTCTGATAGTTTTAAGAAAAGTATCAAGATAAAAGGGGGAGCTGGTGAAGTGAAGCAGATAAGAGGTAAAATATGTAAATTGGTCTATCTTCTAAGGTTTACTTCAGTATGCATTAATCATATGAGATCCTTAAGTTATACTATATAA